GCAAGTGGAGCATGCATGGTCATACTGAACACGTTGTCTCCGTCCGTCTCCCCTTCAGCAGCTGTCTACTGTTCAGCATGTCTCCTCTTCAGGCCGCTCCTTTTTCTTACGAGGCATCGCGAAGACTGCGGCGCACCTAGTGAGCGCCTCGTTCCGCGCATGCGCGCCCTAAGAGGAGAATGGCACGTGTGACCTCTGCGACGTTTGGATGGCTGAGTGTGTCGCACCGTCGTGGTTTTTCCCCTTTTAACAGGCCGGTAACTAACGCCATCTCTCGGGTTCGTTTCTTCGCTGCCGGCCGCGTTATCGCCGTGCGCGCTACTTTTTCTGGACATCTTTTCTTTTTAATGTAAGAGCAACATTAGAATAACCTTTTTGTTGAATTACGAGGTACATATACGTAGCGTGAGCTTAATCTCTGGTCAGGTTCCACCAACTTTGAACTGAGCGCGAGGTCAGCTAGTAGCAAGGGCAACACGCGACCAACTTCGATAAGCGGGTGTAAAAGTAGAGCGGGTTCTCGAAATTTTATCAAGCAGCTTCGAAGATGCCGAGTGGTTTTCGCTTGCGTCGGCGTTGGGGCACGGCCCATCAGTCTCCCGTCGTTCGACGCGCCGCCGGTTTGCATACGGCTGATATGCTGACTGCGGCGTATTTTATCAAATACGCGTACGTTTCGAAGTACAGTGTCTAGATGGCACTTCACCGTTATTTATGGAATACACAGCTTTGAAACGAAACTCTAGATGCCGCTTCAAGCAACGGGAGGCTACAGTTCCTGTATACGCTCCCTACGGGAACCAGAGTTGCGCGTTTGATTCCACGTGCCGCGTGCCGCCCTCGCCGCGATTCGCCGAGATCCGATCACGTGAGGAGCCGTATCAAGTGTCAGGCAGCAAAGTAGACGTTGCTCGCGCCCCGGCGTAGGTTTCCCGGCTTTTGAGCGCGCAGCGCGCCTCGAACGCGCGGCGCTGCTATTCGCCGAATTCAGTCACGTGAGGAGCTGTATCCACGTGCCATGCATGAACGCGTAACTCTGGCTCCCGTAGGGAGCCTATACATGAACTCTACGGGAGGCTGAAGCCCCTCTATCCTGGGAAAAGTGGCACCATTCACTGTTGTGCAAATGCTCGAAGCACGTGCCGTGCGCCGCTTCTGGGAAGAACATGGCGTCTGAAGTCTAGCTGAGTGCTGCGCTGTGCCGCCATGATCTTCCCAAGGGATGCACGTTGCAAGTGTCACGTGCATCGACGCACCTTGCGCTACTTTTGAAACATGAAGGGGCTTTACGCGGGAGGCGGGCTGGAGGGGGAGATGGACGGCACACCGCTTCGCGAGAGATCCACGACTGAGGTGTTGGTCATGGCATCGCGGTGGCCTTTTCCAAATCCGGTCTGCTGGGTGCCTGGAGCGGCCAAGCCACTAGGGGAGACTTCGGAGCTGCCATCGCTCTGTCTAGTGCAAACGAGCGGAGTGGCCTGTACTCGCTTTGTAAAGCATTTGACCTCACTCATCCGCGCAAAGGTTTCGATGTTTCAACCTCAAGAGACAGAGGCGTGCGTCCGTTTGATGAGAGCAACCTCTCTTGTTATCCTCGGTAATAAATCTTCGTTATGGGACAAACGATAAAAAAGAAAAAAAAAAAAAAAAAAAACACTTGTCCAGGTTTTTTTTTTTTTTTTTTTTTTTTTTTTTTTTTTTTTTTTTTTACAGAGTTTGGTGTTTATCCGACACAAGGCGTCATGGTCATCATCGCTCGCCCGGGACACTTGTTCAATACGTACTTCACGAATGTACACATTTCCGACCAACCACATCTTTTAGCAAATTATCTCACATTTTGTAAAGTTTTGGAAATACAAAAAAGAAACAGAACGAAAAACTGCGCGCAAATCGTGCGCATGTATGCGTTCGAAACGACCACCCCCACCCAACAAGGAGTTTCTTTGGAACCCGATGCCCGGTTGTGACGCATATCAGTTAACGGCGCCCCATAAAGCAGACGACAAACGCCCGACGCTCAGCAGCCCACGGCCCAGAAATAAAGCAGAGGGCAGAAGCAAAAAGAAGAGTAATAAAAATCCCCGGGATCCGCCGCGAGAGCACTAGAGAGAAAAAGAGGGAGTGAGAGAAAGACATGGAGCAGCGACCCCTGCCTGGGCCCCCTGGACGAACCTCGAGCGATACGCAACTTCCGGCATGTAGCCCCCGCCACTTTCTGCGCCTTCCTTTAATGCACGCACTCCCCACGTCACAACAACCGATTCGGGGTGGCGGCAGGAGTAGCAGACGACGGGCGGCCATCAGTCAAAAATTTTCTTCGGGCGCGCGCAAAGCACGTCAAGTGCAGCAGCAGACTTGCTTGGTTAGCAGACGCCGCCGACAAGGCCGAAACAGCACGCACTACACACGCACACCGGAACGAGCCATCAGCCAGCGCGCCGACAGCCGTCTGCTAAAAAGTTAACGCTCGCTCCCTGCAAACCGAGCTTCTCTTTTCGTTTTTTTTTTATTCCTTTTTTTTTTAGGGAGGCAGCAGAAAAAACACATATGCAACAAACTTTTACCGAGCTTATTGGTTCGGAGTACAGGCTCACTTATTTATTATTAACGATATTTTTTTCTGCTATTATTCTATAGCTAGGGGACGACCAAAAATCGCCGCTGTCCTTAGTCAGCTGAGGACAGGAACAATCAAAACAATTGAAATCGCCTTCAAACGCAGTGCATCTCAATCTGCTAACAATCGCACAACTGCATTTTAAAAAAAGCAGCTGAAAAAGCAAAACAAAACAAAAAAAAAACGTAACGTTTAAATTGGCGTGTAGCGAGGTAAAAAATAAAATAAAATAAACGATGTCTTACTTCCGTCGGCTCGTGGGCGGATGTATTTTTATTTCAATTCCTGACGGCCGGGGAAAAAAAAAAAAAGAAATCGTGGGTTTATCTGCGATCGGCAAACACACACACACACACACATACACACACACACGCACACAAATGTTGACATGTCCTCACATGAATAGAAATGGGACTCTCCCCCCTTGCTCCCAACAGACACCAGTGAAGCAAAAAGACATGCGCATGGGGAAAAATGAACGCGACTTGGCATAGTTACCAAGAACCCCTTGACAGGTGAAATTTAACGGCATAAACTCAGTCTCAACAGGGACTTCGCGTTTGCCTGTCGCATATTTCACTTCTGTCTCGGTAAAGGAAGGAAGGACTGCGCCTCACTCTCTCGACTAGTCATTCGGAGGAACTATGTTAAAATTACAGCACCTTGTTTGTTCGTGATTTCGTACCTCCAGCCCATATATCGCTTCGTCAAAGTAAAATAATAAAAAAACATATATGGTAGACACACTATATAAGATATTCACAACCTCGACGCTCTCGCGTTGGACCTTGCCGAAAGCGGTCGTTATAATTATAGACATTAGTCTCTATAGTTCTGGTTGACCGACCACTCCGTTCTTTTTATAATTATATGTTGCGCGATAGCATAACACACGGTATTGCAAGCGCGACTTGCTGGTTTCCGCGGTCACAAAAACGGTGCAACGCGAATTCAATGGGTGATGAATATTAGCAGTCTTCGAGTCACTAAATAAAACACACACACACACTGAGAAACAATGATGCAAATTGTAATTTTAGGCGTGTCGGTAATAGCACTTCTTTATACTTTGTTTTTAATTTTTGTAGCACAAGGTTGTACGAGCGTATGCTGTATTAAAAGTGGCCACACTGAGTGGGAAAACAACAACAACAAAGATTTAGATTGGTTGCGCGTCATGTCCAGCGCTGTTATCGCATAAGCCCAGAGAGTCTAATTATGACCGCCTGCGATGCCATGCCAACTTTGTGCCAGAACCGGATGATGATTATTAGCGGACTCGATCCGCTTGCAGAAACAACCGCGTACTGCGTACGACTTGCAAACAGCAACAAAAGATGCGCGACAACAGCGGCAAAGTGGGGAGCTTGGTTCAACGACGAAGGGGCGCTGCCACGGTAATAAAATAAGAACGACGATTAATAACAACAACGAAAGGACAACAAACAACGCGACAGCGTACGACGAAGGAGAGGCCCAGACGGAGTTGGGCGGCGCAACCGAGCACCCCGGAACTCTGGGCAAAACGCCAAGGCGCCCGCCCGCCCGGTAGCGAACCAGCAAGTTGCATAAACCAAGAGCGCTCACGCAAGCGAGGGGCCCGTGTAACGGTCCGTCGCGCGTCACTTGTTGCACCGACACTTCACGAGAGCGATGCGCCGGGTGCCAATGCGCTCTTTCATCGAGCGCCTTCACATCACAGTGCGACAGGTCACTCCGATTTGACGGCAGGTGCATGATTGCAGCGCTCTTTAAACGCCACAATTACGCCGGTTTATTTTCTTTTTAATTATTATTTTTATAAATTTGTATTTCTCTCTTGTGATGGACGCAGTGCGCTCGGTAAAACAGATGCAAGCATCTGTGACTATTTCCGCGACGGTGTGCGAAGGTGTAACTAACACACGCTGCTGTTGTCTTTTTAATAACGGACACAGGTGCAAGGTGTTGTCCCGTCCCCTGTTTTTACTTATATAACTCTTTCTAAACCTACATCATTACCAACGCGCTCACTAAGAAGTTGACACTTAAGTTGCATTTGATTTGGGCGTGTAATTCGCGTGATATGCAAGACGAACGAGCGAGTGCGCGATGATCTACCGCGCGATATCGCCGCCGGTCTGGGCGACGCACGTTTCCCCCGCTGCAATCGGAAGGGGCTGCAAATGCCGCAGCTGAAAAAACGAACCCGCGCCAAATCGTGAACGTTGCACAGCAGCCTCCGCTACACGCTACGCCTTCGTGGAAGCCGAATGCCGCGAGGACCGTTGCTGCGGTTTGTAAAGTCCCGCGAATGTAGTTTTAAACTTGAGAGAGGCCGCACGAACCGATGGGCGGAGGTCGCGTGCGTGCGATCGCGAGAGCGAGGTTTTGCACTTACCCCGTTTTTGATCGCCTTGGAGGTGGAAATCCGGCGGTGGAATGCTTTGGCCGGTTCGGCGTCGCCGTCGCTCTCGGACGAGTCCTCTGTGGCCGGGTCCGAGCCGCACTTCTCAGATGCCGTCGTTCTCTGGGCGCCACTGTTGTGGTCGGCGGGCGCGCCGACAGCGACTTCGGAACCCGACGCCATGTTGCACACAACGCGGCCGCGCCAACAGAGTCTATCGTCTGCAATCTTCTCTCCAAACTCCGGCGCGCTCACAGCGGTGGCGCTCGCGCCCGTTACCGCGGAGAACTCGGATTGGCGAGAGTACGGATAACGCTGACTGGCGCTGGCCGCGCTCTCGGTACGCCGCCATATTCCTTCGTTGTTCGTTGCTTTATAGCATCTTCGATCAACTCGCACCGGAATCGCCCTGAAACCAGCACAGTGCACAGCGCTCCTCGGTCGTGCAGCGCGATGCCGGTGCAACATCGAGGACAAACTGCGCCGCGCCGGTGCACCGCGGCGAGCTCCACCTTGCGTCACTTCGCGTTTTGTTCGTTTATTTTGCGTAGGTCAGCGCACGGTGCCCGTCTGCTGTCAATTTCTTCTATTTTTTTACTCGCGGATTTGACGGTCCCACAGAAATAAACATCGTGGACGTGATTGTCGATGGGGTCACGAAGCGGGTGACAATTCCACATGTATATGTTGGCCATCATTATTAGTTCAAGAAAACGAAACACCAGATAATAGCCGCAATAGCCGTACCTCGCTGTCATCGAAACGCCTCGCGCCGCTTTCCACGAAGTTCGTGCTTTTCGGGCGCTCCTTGCCACCGCAGCAATCGCCAGTAATCGCGGCGATGGTGAGAAGCTCGTCGTCTCGTCGTCAGAAGACCCGAGGAAATCATCTAGTGCAGCTGCGAGGCGTGTTCGTTTTTGCAAGATCGCCATCTCGATCAAGATCTCGATAGTCTGCGCGTCTGCTACTCCCGCCATCTTCTCGATTCCCGCTCCTGGCCGCAATGCCTGATGGGACTGCCCCCCGGCGCACCGCCGATTTTCTTGGTGCGCGTTGGGGCAACGAAAAACCGCACCGGGAGGGTGCGCTTCGTTGATCGAGGACGTACGGTGCGCACCGGTGCACTTGATCGAAGATGAAGGGGCGCACCTCAGTGCCCCGGTGCGCACCGGTGCGGATGATCGAGGATGCTATTAGGTATGGTAGGTTTATGCTCCCTCAGGCCATCCAGGAAGAGTTAGAAGTAGGGATGCCGCGAACCTTTTTCGAACCGAAAGTGCGATGATCGAATCAAACGAATCGAAAGGTTCGAAAGATTTCGAATTTTCGACCTTTCCATACCGAGAAATCGACGGAAGTCGAATTTTCGACCTTGTTAAACTAAGAAGTTCGACACTTTTCAAAGTTTCGAACTAATTACGCTGCAAAATCGATGCTTGTCGAACTTTCGAACTTGATAGACTAAAAAATCGATGATTTTCGAACGTTCGATTTCTTCCACTAAAAAGTCGAAGCTTTTCGAACTTTCGAACTTCCTACGCTAAGAAATTCGATAATTTTCGAACTTTCGACCTTAGTAATCTAAAGAAATCGAAAATGGTCGAACTTCCGATTGCTGAAAAGTCAAAAGTTCGACGACCTTCGACCTTTTAGTGTAAAAGTTCGAAGTTCGTCGAACTTCGAAAGGCGGGCGGGCAGTTTCATTTGGATTCAAGCTGTGAACTACATTCGTAATTTTTTTTCCCGCATTTTTACATGTGGTGCCGCATTACTTGCGTAAGACAGTGCCGTTTATTTCAATCGTTTGGCATGCTTGGTTTTAAAGGACACATGCAAAGGAAAAAAAACATTTTTTTAAACGGCTTAGATGGAAAAAGGACGCCATAAAACGATTTTACAACGAAGAAAAAAAAATTTTAGAGCTATATTTACGGCGCAAAACGAATTTGTAGTTGGCGCCCACGGGCACCGCGGAAAAGTGGTCTGTATTTATCACGTGACTGGTCTTTCTTTATCACGTGGTGCTTGCGCTCTTTCGGAAGCTTCCTATGGCCTCTAAAAGTAACTTATTCATCTTTGTTTGAAGTATAACAAAAAAACAAGACGAATAGGTAACTTTTAGAGCCCAAAGGAAACTTCTGAAAAAGCGCAAGCAGACGTGATAGACCTGTGCGCCGGCCAGACGACGGCGGCGGCGCCCCGAAGCAGACGAACTTGTGCGGCGGCGGCGGCGACGGCGGCGTGGAGAAACGCGTTGAAGCGGGGTTCGCACAACGCTCAGCGTGCGGCGGCGACGCAGCGCGGCGGCGCGCGGGCCTACCACGTGACCAGCGGCGGCTCCCGCGAGCGCCAACTACAAATTCGTATAGCGCCGTAAATATAGCTCTAAAAATTTTGTTTCTTCGTTGTAAAATCGTTTTATGACATCCTTTTTCCATCTAAGCTGTCTAAAAAAAATTTTTTTTTCCTTTCCATGTGTTCTTTAAAGAAATAGATCCCCGAAGGAGCGAGGACGACGGGTTTTTGACAATTGTCGTTCGTGCCATATTTGAAGCGCGCTATAGCCGAAGATATTAAAGCGCGCTATAGCCGAAGATGTTAAACTTTTTAAGAATGATCTATGTATTGCCTAGGTAAGTGTAGTCTCAAGATATGATTATTATTCTTCAAGACGAGTCTGGAAGAAATATCCAAACATGTATCTTGGGCAATTATGCCCTAAACTTGGTAATTTTTTTCGTCGAAATTGTTTTTCGGTACCGCTAATAAATTAACACCACAGACAGTACATGTCACTACCATCTGCAGAATAGAAATTAATGTATATAGTGTTATTTTCACATTGAGGAATAAATTAACTCAGGGAAAAAGATTTCTAATATTGTTCTAAATCGGCACGCCATAAAAAAAAATATATATGTATATATATATATATATATATAAATATTATGTTTATTTTTTCATTTCACGTTTTTGGGACATGTTTCTTTTAGCCTGTACACATTTTGATAGAAGAAACTTGTTTCGTAGTTCTGGCCCTGTGAATATGCAAGGATACAACACTTCCGGTGGATTCTGGATAGTTTTTTTTTTTTTTCCAGCTTTTTATATTTTGCATTTATTCTAATGTTTATTTATTTAATATTTTTTACCAATGGCACAGTTATTTAAGTCGAAAAGACATAGCTTTGAACTTCCGAACCACCGAGCATGTCACGAGTAGCGCCTTCTGACGAGTTTCTAACAATGGACCATCTACGCGATCTTTTATGCAGTGAAGAGTGGCAGTAGCTATACATATGCATAAATAATTCGACATTAAAATAAGCTCGACCCTGCCCTCTTTACCCGTATTGTTTTCTTTAACAGTTCGAAATATCTGGGGGAGGGGGGGAGAAAGAAAAAAAGACTGGAGCCCCCCCCCCCCCCCCCCCCCCCCGTTTTTCATCTTCCGACGCTACTGGTATGGTAGAACACTCCTCGACCTCAAGTTGTGTTAGCTTCTGTGCTTTTTGCTCGCCATTTCTTCCGTCTCGGAAGATAAACCTCCAAAGCAATTACAAACAAAAAAAAATGTCAAGGTGCAGGCGAGCTGGTGTATGTTGATCATGATGCAAAATCCCGATACTGGGAATGAAATTCGAAAGAAATACTGCACGAAGAAATAGAAAAGGGGACCGGACAAGGTCTCAAACTCAGCTGAGTTGAGTTTGAGACGCTGTCCTGAGCTGAGTTTTCAGCCGGGTTGAGTTTGAGACGTTGTCGTGAGCTGAGTTTAAGCGTTGTCCTGTCCCCTTTTTTCTGTCTTACACTTTTTCTTTCAAATTTCATTCCCAGTATCAGGATTTTTTTTGCATCGTGTACAAACTAAACTTACTATATGCCAGCGTCACTCGGGCGGCGTTCGAGCGGATTACTACCAGCGTGCAGGGGGGACAGGGAGGCAGTTCGCCAGATCGCTTCAAGGTTTTTCTGAAACTCAACCACCTGCCTGCCCCTGGCCGTTTCGAACTGGATGAGTATCGTTAAACAGTGCGTTCGTGTGATCACTACTGGGTAATGCACGTTAAACCCTCCCCCCCCCCCCCCCCCCCCCCCCCCCAGGCGCACACGTCACTCTGCACTGGCAAATAATCCAGCACATCCGGGACACTCGTCGTCCCATTTAATTACCTGACCAACTTCGCGCAGTCTAAATATCACACCCGAACATTTCTAAACCTGATTTTGTGAAAACTAGTGAGGCGCGAGAACGTTAAGCAACGTTCACACTCTTGGGACCCAGTAAGACCGAGAGAGACCAGACCGGTTTTTAAGCCTTTGGCGACTTCTTAGAATTGGATGCGCTGCAGCGGAGCTGGTCCTAAGAGATCGCAAGAGGCTTAAAAACCGGTCTGGTCTCTCTCGGTCTTACTGGGTCGCAAGTGTGTGAACGGGCCTTTATTTGAAACTGAAACTGTGGCGGAACATGAAAACCGGACTTCGAAGTTCGAACTTTGCTCACCTGGACTTAAAAAAAATTCAAAACTAAATTTTTTTTTTTTTTTTTTTTTTTTTTTTTTTTTTTTTTTTTTTTAGTTTGGCGCTAAAGGCGAATCAAAACCTTCGAACTTTTCGAACTTTATGTAGAAAGAAATTGGAAACCTTCGAATTTATAGAACTTTATGTCTATAAAAATTCGAAACGTTCGAATGTTTCAAATTTCAGATCCAAAGAAATTCGAAACAGTCGAATCTCTTGAATTTCAAATTAGGAAAGTTCGATATCTTCGAATTTCTCGAACCTCAAGTAAAAAAATATTCGAAATAATCGAACCCGAACTTTTAGAAACCGTGAAAGCTTCGAACTTTTCGAATTCGAGACTCAGCGATTTTTGAAAGTTGCGAATTTTTCGAATTCGAATGTCCGTACGGTCGAAAATATCGAAACCTTTCGAAATCGAACATGAGTTCGGTTCGAAAATATCTAACCTTTCGAAATCGAACCTCGGGTGGTTCGCGGCATCCTAGTTGGAAGAGGATGTGAACTGATGAATAAAGATGACGGAACGGTTCACCCGTGCACCATCCTTTATCTGATCTCGCTCCTTATTTTCTTCTACGGAAAATTTGCAAATAATCGAAATTGTTTTTGAACAATGATAATAGTGCTTCGGTTTCGTTTGTTTTGCGTGCGTGTCATTCTTCAAGGTAATAA